GGAGGCAGCTATAAGATAGCTCCCCGTGTTTCCGGCGCAGTTTACCAGTGCCAGGAAGAGCAATAGATACTTGCCTCAAACGAATATGGCTGTGTGTTTTGACGTGTTTTGTAGCTACCTGAGGGACTGGGTTCAAGTGGCCTGCCAGGCAACATTTATCAAAAGCATTTAAATGCAAATATACTGGCCACAGCCACCTGGGGCTGCAAAGGATAACAGATGGGGAAAACAGTAATAGATTGAAAAGCCTGGAAAGGAAAAGGCCAGGGAAGGATATATAAATATATTACATATAGGCTTTGAAAAGCTCTTCTGTATTCAGGGGAATCTAGAAGAGCCCTGAGATGACCTTCTGATTGACTTCTAGGCTCTGTGCAAGCAGGAAGTGAAGGCTAAAGTTGAGCTGTAAATAGCTGAGCCTTGAAGGAGCTAGTCTTCAAAGACTGTGAGAATTTTTGTGTCTTTTTGGTTTCATATGTTTAAGGAAATCTCTGTCAAATAACTAGTTGACCACTAAGCTAACAAAGACTTCAGTGGAAACTCAATACAAAGAACACAATCTTTAAAAAAATAGCTTAGAGAAGTCACTAAACAAACAACTACAATCTACCCATGACAACAACAAATCCTGGGGAGGCAAAAAAATCTGATTTCTAGAGTTACCATATTATAATAGTCAAGATATCCAGTTATCAACAACAACAAAATTACATGGCATGTAAAGAAAGTATAGCCCATTCACCAGAAAATAAATAAAAAGATTCTGTCACTGAGGAAGTTCAGACATTGACTTACTACTAGACAAAACTTAGGACCTGGACCCTGTCCATGTCTCATACCTCATCTTGAACCAGTTTATGTTTTGCTCCCTGTCACCAGTCATTCCTGTCTTCTTGTTCTTCAAACTATCAAGTATGTTCCTGCCTTAGACCTTTAAACATGCTGCATATTCTCTCTGGAATGTTCTACGTCTTTGCATACCTCACTCTGCATATTCGGGTCTCCATTCACTTTCCACATCCTCAGAAGCACCTTTCCTGACCATCTAATCTAAAATAGCTGTGCCCTCCCCCACATCCCTAATGGCTATCAATTTCTGTTTCCTTTTATTGTTCATGTCATTACTCTCTGAAATTATTTTCATTAGCTATTTATTTACTTTTTTTTTTTTATTGTGTGTCTTTCTCCCTAGAATGTATGCTCCCTGGCAGAAAGGCATTTTATCTGCTGTCATTTACTGCAGATCACCCACTTAAAAGAGGGAGCCAGAACAGGGTTAAATAAGTATTTATTAAATGAGTAAATAAATATGTTATAATATTTAAGAAAGAATTGAAACAAGAAAAATATTATAAAATTCCTATGAGGAGTCTCTTCAGCTCAGAAATTTTGCTCGCCTCTTGTTTAATGAATCTACTAGAGTCCACCCATTGATAAGGCCTCAAATGAGGTGAAAGGGTAATGCCCAAAGCCACATAGCCTGTCATTTCCATTCTAGGAAAAGCAGTCACCGGTAGGGAGGTGGGTGAGCAAATCTGCCCTCAGGTAAGCACAGCCTGGTCAGGGATGGAGAGTGTGTGGGTAAGCTTCAGGCAAACCTCTCCATGTGCACCCCTGACACAGAGAAAGCCAGGCCGGTAGTGGCAGTGGTAAAGGTGTCCTTGAGATTTCAAAGTAATCCAATCTTTGGCAGAGGTTCAGAAATCAGGGTGGGTGATATAAAGGTGTTATTAAGTAACACCTTGAGTAAAGAACAAAGGGACAAAGGATTGACTGGTCTGTCTTTTCTTATTCAACTTCAGAGAAGAGAGGTCTCTCTGATTCTTGTTAAGGTTCTAAAACAACCTGAGAGAGGAAATGATCCTCAAGAAATAGGTTTATGAACTGGTTTTACTACACTAAGCATTACACTATTTTTATTCTAGATGAAAATATTTCTAGAACCTGTCATATATATATACTTTTTCAATATATTAACCACTTTCTTATCTTCTAAAAACACTATCATGGTCAGGGTGATTAAAAATATTGCTTCTGAAGTCAAAGAGCTTAGGTTCAAAACAGGGCTTTGCAACTCACCATCTGTGCAAGTTAATACTCTGTGCCTTAGTTTCTTTATCTATAAATAGGAATAATAGCAGTACCTGCCTCAGAAATTTCCTGTAAGAATTAACTGAATTAATACCTGTAATAATGCACTTAGCACACTGTCTGGTACATAGTACTGCTTGGAAAATTCAGCTGCTGCTGCTGTGACTGTTATTAACATTAATATAGCAATATATTTTTCTTGGTGCCTTGAGCTCATTGTAAGTCTTAAAGTTTTAGAATATGCTACAACATAGTGATATTTTTTTAAAGGGCATATGGTTTGACACAGTTCCAGACTAAGTTGCTGGACTGCTCTTATGTGCTGTTTCATAGTTTTTCCATTGTGTTTTCTAAAGTCTCTGATTTTTACTTCTACTGTTGTTAGCCATTTTTCCTATCTTTATCAGCCTTTTTCCATGCTTCCAGTTTTACAGTGTGGTATAAAAACCAGTAAAGTAAGGCTGTTATACAAGTGTATTAAGTGAAAGCTAATACATTCTAAACTAAGTTGGAAAAGCTCTCCTATGACTAGAGAGAAGGAACTTGACTCCACAGACATCTCTTTTGGGTCTTCAGAGGTATTTTATATTTTCTAATTTCCTGATTCTTAGATAAATATAAAAAGCTATCTGAAAACTAAATTTATAGGGAGATAGATAGAACAAAGTTTATATATAAAAAGCCTCTTAAGCTCCTACTATAGCTAGATTTTGGGGGAATAAAAATGAATAATATGGTCCCAAGCCTCAAAAAGCTTACAATCTGGAGAGGGAGATAAAGCATAAACAATGTTAAGATAATATGTAAGAGATACCAAAGATTTTCACACTGGGTACTATAGGAGCCTAGAGAAAGGGCCCTGAACTTAACCTGGGGATGCAGGGAAGGCTTCCTGAAGAGGATTGTGCCTGAACTGAACCTTTGACAGGCAAGTGCAGAAAGGCTGAATGGGCTTTCCAAGCATGGGCACAGGAAACGTAATAAGGTAGGAAAGAGCATAGTGCTTTTGTGAGGGTATATAGGGGTGTGTGTGTGTGTGTGTGTGTGTGTGTAATTAATTACTGATATTGATTCAATTTTTTAAAAAGTAAAATGGATAAGAATTTGTACACCATGTAAGAACTTGTTCGTTGTGCTTCAGAAGATCCGAGACTGATGAGAATTAGACTTGGGGTGGATTAATGATTGTGCATTGAGTCCCCTGTAGAGAATTTTATTGTTGTTAACTGTTAATAACCACTTGATGAATAAATATGAGAGATGCCCTCTCAAAAATAAAAAAGTAAAATGGGAAATGGTGAGATAAAAAGCCAGGAGTTAGACTGAACAGAAGCCAGAATCAAAAGAGGGCCTTATATGCCCTGCCAACGGGCTTGGACATTGCTTGTAAGGAGAAGGAGAACCATTAAGAAAATGTGAAGGAGAAAAAAGTCAATTTTCAGATTTTCCTTTTAGATGTGTAACTCAGACAGCATTGTGAAAGACAGAGCAAAGCTAGAGAAAACTGGAAAGAGACAGACCAGTTAGGGGTCTGTTGCAATAATAAGCTCAAGATAGTAAAGCTTGAATGAGGACAAAGCACAAGTTATGGTGAGGAAGAGAGAGGGTCCCGATGTATTTTGCAGATAACCACGGATACCCTGGTGACTTAGGAGAAGAGGGAGGTCCCAGACTGACAGGAGTCAAGGATGACTACCAGATTTTAGGTCTTGTGTTACTGGTTAGATGAGAGCATAATTAACCGAGAGAGAAATAGCACAGTTTCTTCGTTTTGTTTTGTTTTTAAATTTAATCTTGTTTTTGTTTTCTCTCTTGAGTAATGGGCATAGGAAAAGAAATCAATGAATTCAGACTGAGACATGTTAAGTTGGAGCTAATTATTATAGAGGTCAGAACTGAAGATAAACATTTTACAATAATTAACAAATAAAACCAGGAAAGCAGATAAGCCCTAGAAAAATGTATGAAAAGAAGAGCAGCGAAACAAGGTGAGGTGGGACACTGGACAGCACCAGTGCTTAGAGAAGGGCAGAGGAAGACGGCCGTGCAAGAACCTGGGACACCGCACTGAGCGGCGCAAGGCAAGAACAGCGCCCTGAAAGCCAAGCGTGAGTTTAGATGGAGTGGTCAACGAAGAAGCTAAACACACTGTAACAGCTCCATGTTTTGAGCACTAACTACATACCAGGAACTGCACAGTTTTATACATTTTATCTCACTTAATCCTTATGCTATAGATAAACCAATGTGAAGTTCAGTGTAACTTACCCAAGGTCATAGGGTGAGCTGGCAGAACTGGGATCTGAACCCAGGTTCTGCTGGATTACAAAGCCCATGTTCTTAACTCTGCTGGAGTAAAAGAACTTCTTCAGGATGCATCTTAATATTATCATAAGGACTGCTATATACTGCCTTTCCAGGAAGCATATCTTAAAATCTGCTTAATGTTCTCAAATGAATATTTAATATCTAATAAGGTTGTTAGGCATTTGATCACTTATTTGGTGATATATTTCTTCACAATATCATCAATACCACACTTAAATTATGAGAACAGTAAAGTGCAACACAAGGTAATACGTTCATCTGATTAGAGCACTGCTCCAGAAAGGCCAAAAGGAAGGTCCTATATGGGCTAGTTAGTGCCCTTCAGAGGAAAACTAAGTGTCTGGACCTGGACACCTAAGACTACTTAGCTTCTACACAAATATTATTATTGGTCTCAAGGAAAGCCAGAGAGGGTATGCACCATTCAGCACAAACATGGAAAAATTAAAGTAGGTATTCTAGAGAAGGTTTATTTTACATAATAAAATACCCATTTAGAGATAGAGAATACGTCACATTCCTATTATAAAAGTTGTAATTCTCCTCTTTCCCACTAGAGGAAGCAATAGCATTACTCTTACCATTTGGTGGATAAAAGACAGCATATTCTTCTAGTCCTAGTTTTCCTATAAGAAAAAAACATTGAAGAGTTTCAATATGATAAACAAAACTTTAAAAATTAACTAATTTTGTGAATGTACTAATAACTAATGGAATTTTAAAAACTACTGTAATATATCTTCTTTTATTTCATGACATGGAATTAATTTGCAAATATGCCAGCAACTTTTGATACTAGCAAATCCTTTAAACAATTTGTCAGTAATATAATCTTAGTACAAGGCAACTGAAACAAGATGATGAGAAAAACAAGTGATTTCTAGCTCTGTAAGCATGCAAAAGAAGTATCTATTTATAAGCATAGAACTGTATTGCTTTTATGTCTTGCTTACTTATATATTAACTTATAAATAATTCTAATCTATTCATTACAGTAAGTGCTAAGCTTTGCAATGCCTCATTAGTTTACATTTTTACAGAATGTGCAGAACAGTTAAAAATTAAATGTCCTTAACTATAATGGTGGTAACATTTTCTGAATCCTAAAACAGTTCATATGGCCCAAGAATGAGACTAAATATGTGAAATCAGAATTATCTCAGAAAATTAAAATATATTCCCCATATGTGTTTTTTTTTTTTTGGCTACTACAATCTTTATTCAAGAACCCCATAATATGTTTTAAAGGAGTTTTTAAAGTTTTCCTCAAAACTTATGGTTCTGAGTTTTTCCCCACCTTCTACTGAGTATCTTTAGGTAGCTTTTATCTTGACAGGTTTTCTACACCTTTGAATCTATTGAAAAGTCACCCCCACTTGGCTTTAAGGTAAATTTTTAATTTAAATAAAGATTGTGTTTGTTTTGTTTTGCTCTTGTTGGGAGTGGTGGCAAGAGGAGTTGAAGAAGAAGCCTGAGCAGTTTAGGTTAGGGTGGAGACAACAAGGACAGGTCCTGTGAGTAAAGAGAAAATGGAATAAGAAAAATAGATGATACATAAATAGATAAGATTTATTGTAATTAAGTTCTACAATCAACTTTTTAGCAGATAATGTTAAAGAAACAAACAAGCAAACCAGAGTTTTCTCTAAGTTCAATTTAGAAGCCATGGAACTGAGAGCCTCCAAGCTGACGGAGGGGGACCGCTGCACCAGGTAAGGTGGGCGTGTTCTAAGGCGGGGCCGTAGCCATCAGGCAGCCAGCCAGACTGAGGGATGGCGGAAAGACAGTTTCTGCCTTCATGGGAACAACGATGACCATACCCAATAGGGTTATAAGCTTTCAGTGCTGGGACTTTACCACTTAATAAAAAGTAAAAATTGGGAATGTCTGCTGGCTGTTCAGTCAGGTGTCAGGTGATAGCAGGATATTCAAATAGCGATATCTTATAGGCAGTTAGTGATAGAGGAGAAGAAAGCATTAAAATAGAAAGAGAGCAAATAACTAATAAATTGTATCAAAAGCTTAAGTGGTAGAACATTTTGAGAGAAGTAATAGAAGGAATATAGAAGGTTAAAAAAATAGGAAAAGCAAATTTATGTGATAAACTCATAGTTCGAAGGGAAATAAAAGTCAACAAAAAGGGCAAAAACAGCAAAGAGGAGAAAGCGAACAGGAAAGATAAAGAGGGTAACTTCAAATGCTGCTTCTGAGAACCACTTTCCTGTGTTATGTGGTAAGTTGCTTGGGCACAGATTTAAGTGGGAGTGATAGAATCGTTACAATAATCTGAGTGAAATCTTATTAAATAATTTACAATAAAAATTTGACAACACCAATATATGTTATGAAATAGAACAGTCTGGTATGATTAAGTAGGTCTTAAAGAATACTTCTATGTTACTAAAATTTTACCTCTTATGTATGATTTCGGTGGTGAAGCACTGTTGTATGCAAAGTGACCCAACACAGACGTATCCCGGGAAAAACAAAGTAATACCTGGGTACAACATTGAAAAAACAAACAAACAAACAATTAAGTATTGTTTTATAACAGGTAATTCATTGCTATTTCCTGCTTGGGAGGCATTGATATATTATTTTTCAAGTTGAGTACTGCTCCTTGTGATGGGAAGAGTGACCTCTACTGGTAACTCATGGTAAGTGTTACAATAAATGCCAAGTGTGTAGGGCTCAGTTTCATCCAAGGATTTCTCATCGTTAACCTCCTGAACCTTGAAGAGCAGAAAATGCAAGTCACTAATATCACTTGATTCTCTTACTGTATTTTCTATCTGGAAAAGAGGGAAATTAACAAGGTAAGAAATGTATAGGGGAGACCCTAGGCAACCCCGATGGCATTATGCAATTTGGGAACTACAGGAAACTGGAACAGACTCACTGCTGGGATGCGGCAGCAGGCAGCTGGGCATGTCAGGGTGGGCAGGAAGGCAACTCACAGCATCTAGAAGGGATGCAGTAGCTACAGAGCAAGTGGCAGCCCAAAACAGGTTAGAAGCTGGTTGTGGGGACTAGCAAACAAGAGTGTGGCAACTCTGGGCAGAAAGTGAGAATCAAGGATGTCCATTAGGAGAAACTGGATTGCTGACACAAGTCTGGAATTTGGGGGAGGGGTTTAATCCCCAGGAAGGCAATCAGTAACAAGAAATCTGGGTCCTGGTATTAGAAGAACTGGGTTTCAAAAGATGTTACTGAGAAATGAATTTGGGAATGAAAGCAAAAGGCAGAAACTCAGTTAATAGAATAGAGACACAAAGTCAGGGCCAGACTAAGAGCAGAAGCAAATGGAGAGGGAAACTATGGGTCCAAGACATAGGAAAGGAGCCTAGCTTTAAGAAAAAGGATAACATAGAGCCTGGACACTGGTCAGACCCAATGGTGAAATGTATACCAACCTGCAAGTGATTTATTTTTATTGTATTTTAAAAGACCTACAGGCAGTACAGGTTTATGATAAAAATTAGAAATACAGATGATCAAAAAAGGAGGAAAAACACCCAGAATCCTACCAGTGTTAATATTTTGATGTATATTCTCTCACTACTTTTATACATACACATATAACTTTTTAAACAAATAGGATTATGCATACTGTTCTATAATTGATTTTCTCTCAATATTATAAAATAAGTATTTCCTCCCCATACTTTTTAATGTTGTAGAATATTCCATTATATGGATGAACAGCAATTTATTTAACCTGCCTTTTAGTGTTGAGATTAAATTATTTATACTTTTCTCTAACTATAAACAATGCTGCAGTGAACTTCCTTACAGCTAAATATGTATGTACATCTTTTTTTTTTTAATTCCCAAATCTGGACTAGCTGTATGATCAAAGTGATGGGCACTTTAAATCTAAAACTTTTGATACATCTTTGCCAGACTGCTCTCCAGAAAGATTTTGTTTTTAACATCTACAGAAAACAGTACACATTTTCTCTTGTTAACATCAAAATGGGTTATTATAATCTTACAGGTAAAAAACGGCATCTTGCTTTACTAAAGAGGTTTAATACTTCCATTTGCATTTCTTTTGTTATTTTCCAGTTCATAATCTTAGTTCATTTTAAAATTAATGTTTTTAAAATTACTGATTTGTTTAAATTTTCTGTATATTAAGGATTCTATCCTTTAGTCTAATTATGTATTACAAATGGTTTTGCTCAAACTATTGTTTTTGACAGAGATTTTTAAATTTTTACATGCTCAAATGTACCAATACTTTCTTTCATGCTTAAAGAGCCCCTCCTCATATTTATAATAGTTTTTATATATTCACCTAAATTATGAAAGTCATTTATGAAAGTGTTTTACATCAAGTATTTCTGGTTCTTCCCCTTAGGGAACATATGTCAGCTTATCTTTTCCAGCCACTTTGGTGTTAGGTGTGGCCATGTGATTTGCTCTTTACTCAAAGAAATACACATTCACTTGTAAGTTTCCACATGGAATGTTCAGGAACAGAGCAGTGAACCAGCTTCCCTCTTTCCCTCTGCACAGCAACCATCATAGTGGTTACTCTGCTGGCCCAGGTCCCACAGTGAGAATGACATGGAGCTAGGTCCCCATCCTACTTGGGATAGACATGACCATGAGCAAGAAATTAACCTTTGTTATTCTTAAGCCACTGAGATTTTGAACTTGCATGTTATCACGGTACAATCCAGCGCATCGTGACTAAAACAGAAAATTTCATCAGCATTTTTGATAGATTCATTTTGTGGCAAAATCAATAACTCATCTGGAATTTATTTTGAAACTAGACTGCTGAGTTCAAATTCTAGCTCTCCCACCTACTAGATGTATAACACTAGGCAAGGTACTGGACTTCTTGGTGTCTCAGTTTTCTCACTTGTAATATGGTTACAATAATAATACCTACATCAAAGTTTATTGTGGGGATTAATTAATATACACAGAGCACTTAGAACACTGCCTTGCACATGGTGATTATTATTAAAATGTTAGCTGCAATTACTACTACTACTATTAGTATAACCTTAAATTATTCTGTATTCTGTAGTTTTTTCCCCCAAAACATTTAATTTTCAGTTTGTTTTTGTTTGTATGGCTTAATATTGTCATGTTTCTGGAATTTGACACTTTGTTATCTCCATTTCTGAAAAATTCTCAGCCATTATCTTCCTGAATGATACTGTTCCCATATTCTCTATTTACTTATACCTGACTCCTCTAAAATGCAAGACTGACCTATACTTTTTTCAACCTGCCATATCTCTTTATTAGTTTTATCCCTCTGTGCTCCATTATGGATAACTTCCTCAGATTTTTTTAAAATCAATTCACAAATTCTGTCCCTCTATTTCTACTATGCACTAGGCATTGTTCTGGATGTGTGGTACTTGGGATACACAAAAGAAGCAGACAAATGAAAAAACCTCCCTTATGGTATTTAATTATGGTGGGAGGTATAATAGCAAACATTATAAATAATTGTATTATGTAGCATATTAGGTGTTCTAAGTGTTATGGGAATAAAGTAAAGGGGAAATGGGGAAGGGTAGTTGCCATTTTAAAGGAAGTGGTCAGGAAAAGCTTTGTTGAGAAGGTAATATCTGATCAAAGACTTGAGAAAGTTAACACACAGTTATCAGGGGAGCAGCATTCCAGGCAGAAAAGTTAAAAATTGCAAAGGTGCTAAGGCAGGAATATCCTAATGTGTTGGAGCAACAACCTGGATACAAGTATGGCTGCAAAAGATGAGTGGGAAGAGATAAGTGAGAGAGGTCAAGAGAGGCGATGTTATACAAGGCATTGCAGGTCACTGTCAGGAGAACACCTGCAGGATTTTCAGCAGAGGAGTGAAATTATTTTCTGTTTTATAAGAATCACTATAGCCACTGTGAAGAGAATTGGCCATGGTTGGGGGCAAGGGCAGAAGTAGGGAGACTCTTTATGAGACTATTGATAGTGACTTGGACTAAAATGGTAGCAGTGTGTCGGGGTGGGGATGTGTCACTCACATCCCTCTTCAGGTATAAAGGACTATTAAAACTGCTGGTGCTGCAGCAGATAATCCTCCGCTGCCCTCAGCAGTCAGCTCCTTTCAGGGAATGCCCCTGCTATTTTGAGAAGAGAGCTGTTTTGCTCAAGGATTATGCCCTTTCCCTGGAATGGCCCACATCCAATGACAACTGATGCATGGGGAAAAGGTCCAGCCTCTTGCCCCTATCTCAGGACAGGTCTGTGGGTTTATTGTCAGAACTCTGCAGCATTAGTTGAGGCTTCCATTTAAACTCCATTGAGCTAGACTTCCTCTGCTGCTCAATCCCGCTGCGTCACTGCCCTTCTTTAGGTGTTGATCCCAAGAGCACTCCCTAATAAATCTGTGGCATGCTAACTTCACCTGAGTTGGCTTCCCTAGGAACCTGTCTTGCAACATAGTGAAAGTGGGAAAAGTAGTCAAATTCTAAACACAATGTAAAGGAAGGGCCAACGGGATTTACTAACAGATTGGATGGTGTGTATGAGAAAGAAAGATAGGAATCAAGGATGATGCCAGGTGGAAGGATGCTTGATCTGAGTAAATGGACAGATGGACTTACCATCTTAAGATAGGGAAAGTTGAGTGCAACAATTTTGGTAGTGAGATCAGGGGTTCAGTTTTCAACATGCTAAGTTTGAGATATCTGCAATATATCTAAATGGAGATGTTGAAAAGGCAGTTGGAGGTCTTTAGAAGAGGAGATTATTTTAGATTATTTTGATAGGTCCAATGTAATCACAAAGATCCTCATAAATGAGAGGCAGCAGGGTCAGAATCAGAGAGATCTGAAGATGCTATCACATGGCTTTGAAGATGCGGACAGGGCCCACAAGCCAAAGCATAAAGGTGCACTCCAGAAGCTGGAAAAGGCAAGAGAACATACTCTCTTCCACATCCTCCGGAAGGAACACAGCCCTGAGTTTAGCCCACTGAGACGCATTTCAGACTTCTCACCTTTAGAACTATAAGAGAACATATTTGTTTTGTTTTAAACTAAATTCAGGGTCATTTGTTATTGCACCAATTAATATAACTAATAATAAAAATAAACAATATAAAATAACAATAATAAAAATAAGTAATATAAAATAACAAAAATAAATATAAAAATAAACAAATACAATTAAAGTAAAACAATACAAAAGCAAAATATACTTACAAATATCTTTCTACCATTGTCTAGAGGGAAAACAATTCCTCAATTCCTAAAGAAATGTTTGTAATAACTTTCCTTTAGCAGACTGGTGGCAACATACTAATGTTAGGAGAAATTCTGAACTTAATATATATCCTTCATGTCCCTGTTGCCCCAGAGAAGACAAGCTATCTGAGACTGTTCTAGAGAGAATATTGGTGACTATAAGGTGATAATGCCAGAGGTAGTATGTTAGACATTACGTACTGGTGTGCAACCCTAGCACACAATCAAAGAGCTGCCCACTCCTAACCTGAGTTGTTTTAAGTTCTGA